CCTTAAACAGATATCACACTGATATCACTGTGATGTCGCTGTGCTATGTGGGGTTTCAAGGTCAAAAACTCAGAGTATTAATTAGTATGCTAAACCTAAGAACTATGCCAAGTATAAAGTTTCCTTGACCTTTTACAAGGTAAAGCCCTATTTAGGCCTCTATTGCCTGTACTAATGGTAAATTAGGCGAAAGAACGAAACATGTTTGAAACAAAAGTTTCATAGTTTCGAAGAAGTCAAATAACAATGACCTTGACGTTGACCTTGAAATCGTTTTTCAAGGTCAAATCAAGGTCAACCTTGATTTTTTAAAGGAAAATGTTACTTTTTATTACAAATTCGCAATCTACGTAAAAAAATATTAAACTTTTAAAGGAACCATTTTTCTTAATAATGCTTTGTTTTCTCGCTAGAGGGTGTCGATATAAGGCGTTACGATGTTACCATTCCCAGTGAAAAGTATGGTAAATTAGACGAAATAACGAGAAATGTTTAAAAACAAAGGTTTCATAGTTTCGAAGAAGTCAAATAACGATGACCTTGACGTTGACCTTGAAATCGTTTTTCAAGGTCAAATCAAGGTCATCCTTGATTTTTTAAATGAAAACGTTACTTTTTTATTGCAAATTCGCAATCTACGTAAAAAAATATTAAACTTTTAAAAGAACCATTTTTCTTAATAAGACAAAATTAATATGAACCTCAGTCAACGTCAGAATTTCTTATTAAATGAAATATCTGACATTCAAATTCAGCCTAAAACTGGGTTACTGAACAAAAGGTAAACCTTTGTGTTAAGCAATCAGTTTTCATTTCCTTCCATGATATCGTCATTGGCAATTTTGTATGTGCCGCCATGCGTTATTCTATATTTTAGTTACGTGGCCATTCTATGTTACGTTTATGCTTAAGTCGCCATCTAGTTTAAGGGGAAGAGAATTATTAACGGTTTTCGAGAGAGAGGAAAGAAATCGTATCGTTGTAATACACGGAATAAAGCGGACGTATTCACACACCAATATCCGTCCACGATTCATTACCTAAAAATCCAAGCCATTTACTGGAAAATACGTTGCTAGCACACACAAGAGCAACCACTTTGGTAAGGTAAACTAAATTATTGAGATCTTAATAACTGAATTCAAAGGCATGTTCAACTTTGGTATTGAAACTGCATTCGGCGTAACCCAGGAACAACGACGTGGACGTCGTTCCTTCGGACGATCATATCTTCACGCGTTGTTGGAGCTTCTTCATAAACCACATCTTTTAGATATCCCCACAAATAAAAATCAGGTGAAGTCAGATCTGGTGATCTAGCAGGCCAAGCACTGGGACCACCTCATCCGATCCACCTATTAGCGTATTGATCATTTAAATAATTTCTTACACCTAATGCATAATGTGGAGCACCATCTAATTGTAGCCACATTCTAAGCCTAGTTGCTAAATTCACATTTTCCATCAGCACAGGTAGAGTATCTCTCAAGAGAGCTAAAAAATTGTGCTGATTTACTGTACCTTCAAAAAATATGGACCTACCAAATAGCCATTAATGATTCCACACCAGACGTTAAGGCTTCAACGATGCTGATTATCCACCGGTCTATACCAATGTGGATTTTCGTCAGACCAATAATGACAGTTATGTCTATTTAATTCTCCTGAACTCTTAAACGTTGACTCATCACAAAAGAGAACGTACCTAAAGAAATATGGGTCCTGAGCAATCATTGCCAAGGCCCAGTGACAAAATTCAATACGTTGGAGAAAATCATTAGGGGTCAAAGCTTGCGTTAAAGTAATGTGATACGGATGGTATCTATGGCTGTGTAAAATTCTACAAACTGTTCTCTGCGGTATACCTGTTGCTCTTGTAATATCTCGAGTACTAATATGAGGATTCAAGTGGACACATGCTAAAATCGTAAGCACCCGCTCATCATCTTCATCATAAACACTTCTTTGACGCTGGCGATGGAGATGACCCTCTCGAGCTCTGAGTTCCAAGTTCCGTATGACGGTATCATTAGGATGGCGCCTATTTGGATATCGGACTGCATAAAGTAAGGCAGCAGCTCGGTAGTTTCGTAGACATTCTCCCAAAATGAGAAGAATGTCAACTATTTCCGTTGGAGTATAATCAGCCATTATTTTGAATTTCCGAAACTTTATACAATGTAAGAAATCTTACTATTAACAAATTGTCTGTACTGAAGGTACGACGTATTTGGAGATTAGGAGAATTACATTCAACTAATATCCAAAGCAAAAATTTCTTGCTAATGTTAATAATTATTTTGCCTTAAGAATTGACGCCGATGATCTTACTCAAATTTAAATAGCGATAGAGAAAATAATTTCTTACATATTATGCATTAGGTTTCAATACCAAAGTTGAACATGCCTTTGAATTCAGTTATTAAGGTCTCAATAATTTAGTTTACCTTACCAAAGGTTTACCTTTTGTTCAGTAACCCAGTTTTAGGCTGAATTTGAATGTCAGATATTTCATTTAATAAGAAATTCTGACATTGACTTTAGATTCACGTTAAAACTTCGAGGTTCATATTAATTTTTTGTCTTATTAAGAAAAATGGTTCCTTTAAAAGTTTAATATATTTGGTAAATGTGCATAAAAAGACCCCACCTGCCGATGACCTTGACCTTGACATATGTTGTCAAGGTCACCCTCCTGAGTAACTCTTAGAAGTTATTAGCCGGCGGTCGTTATTCATTAGAAAGTTATTAACAAAAAAAGTTTGGAAAATATAGCAGCTATTTTGAGTATTGGTGTCGCTTCGCATGGATATCGCGTTCATATCCGCCGATTACCTATAGACCACGAATAACTCTTCTTTCTCGCAAACGACTTTCCACGTGAAGCGAGATCCACTCCACACCTCGGACATAGTGTGGGTAGGGTTATATCTTAACGAAGTGGAGCCCCTTCGCAGGGGGGCGGAACGTACTGTCTCCACGCATGTGGAACAGTACAACGGTGGAAGTACATGCGTGAAGACAATACGTTCCGCCCCCCCCCCTGCGGGGGGCTCCACTTCGTTAAGATATAACCCTACCCACACTATGTCAGAGGTGTGGAGTGGATCTCGCTTCACGTGGAAAGTCGCAAACCCATGTGAAACAGTACAACGGCGGAGGTACATGCGTGGAGACAATATGTTCCACCCCCCCTACGGGGGGGCTCCACTATGTCCGAGGTGTGGAGTGGATCTCGCTTCATATGAAAAGTCGCAAATCCATATGGAATTGTATATGTACTACAAAGCACATGCTTAGATGAGAGGACAGATACAAGATTTCAAAATTTTTAATATTTGTGTCTGAAAATTACATATCATTGGTCGACAATGTTTTGTTAATAACTTTCTAACGAATAACGACCGCCGGCTAAAAACTTCTAACAATAAGAGTTACTCAGGAGGGTGTCCTTGACAACATATGTCAAGGTCAAGGTTATCGGCAGGTGGGGTCTTTTTATGTACATTTACCACATTTTTTTACGTAGATTGCGAATTTGCAATAAAAATGTAACGTTTTCATTTAAAAAATCAAGGTTGACCTTGATTTGACCTTGAAAAACGATTTCAAGGTCAACGTCAAGGTCATCGTTATTTGACCCCCTCGAAACCATTAAACCTTTGTTTCAAACATTTTTCGTTAATTCGCTTACTTTTCGAGATATTTGCGTGGATGGATTAAAATGACTCACCCTGTATACCTTACATTTAATCCGCAGACTATGCCGATACATCAAAGTCGATTTAAATTTTTTAGGTCTTCTGTAAATACATGATAGGCAAACTGACCTGTCTTCAGGCCAGGCTTTGTATTTTAGTGACTTTAAAATACCCTGAAACAGCAAGAAGAACATTGTTGTCGCCAGTAATTGATTAAAAACAGGAAGAAAAATTGTTTGATGACGTTAAACTGTTCAAGGTGGTTTAATTTAACAATTTATTCCAACGTTTTGACCATTCGGATTGTGGTCCTTATCAAGGAAATTTCTACAAAATATTGGAGACACTTAATTTTTTAACATTATTGTAGGATGTGTAGAGAGAGAGAGAGAGAGAGAGAGAGAGAGAGAGAGAGAGAGAGAGAGAGAGAGAGAGAGCGTGAGCGTGAGCGTGAGCGTGAGCGTGAGCGTGAGCGTGAGCGTGAGCGTGAGCGTGAGCGTGAGCGTGAGCGTGAGCGTGAGCGTGTGCGTGTGCGTGTGCGTGTGCGTGTGCGTGTGCGTGTGCGTGTGCGTGTGCGTGTGCGTGTGCGTGTGCGTGTGCGTGTGCGTGTGCGTGAGCGTGTGCGTGTGCGTGTGCGTGTGCGTGTGCGTGTGCGTGTGCGTGTGCGTGTGCGTGTGCGTGTGCGTGTGCGTGTGCGTGTGCGTGTGCGTGTGCGTGTGCGTGTGCGTGTG